AGTCCCATTAGTGCTGTTCATATGTACATGGGTGTAAGGCCATCCATCGGGACAGGGGCAACCTACCAATAGCCAACCCCCAAGGAAAAGTTACTCTCCCTCCCCAGCAGGCATCAACTGTTAGCTAGTCAGCTAGGGTGGGGCCTCTGGAGTCCCCCCCACATCCATGCTAGAATTTATAACTGACTTGATCTTGTGTAGGTCTTGTGCATGTAACCACAACTGCTGGGGTTTGTGTATGTAACCGCTACATCATGTCCAGAGGACAGCACTCCCCACCCACAGGTTCTTACATTCTTTCATCTTTTCTTCCACAATGTTCCCTGAGTTTGGCAGCTGGGGTCAGATACATATAGATGTCCCATCTATGGCTGAGCAGTTGTAGTTGCTAATACATTTATAATTTATTTTGTGCTAAAATAAAGATCATTATTAAATCCCAGATTAATTCCAATTACTATTAGGTTTTCATGAGTAAACAACCTCTAAAAGATGCAGATGGACATTTGTCTCATGTGAATAAAGACCAAAGAAGGTACTGTAGAACTCATGTAGTAGGTTTTATGCTTACCAGGGACCCAAGTTCATTCAAGTCTCTGTTGGGTCATATCAAGATCAAGTGTTACATGCATATAAACTGGTTCAAGATGGCTGCTAGGGTTTCAGACATTGTATCTATTATCTAATAGAGCCTCAGTGGCACATGCTTATGATCCTGGCACTTGGAAGGCAGAAACAGGACGCTCATATGTTTATAGGCTGGGCTACATGTTAAGACCCTGTCTCAGAAAGAAAAAACAAAGCACCTTTTACAAGTCTCATCAAGACTTCCACTAGCTGAAAAGGAACTTGCAGACTTTTAGCTGAGGAATGTGCCCAACTAAATATTAGGGCTACATTAATTTGAGGGAGTTGCACAGCATAGCTATTGGTAAGTGACCGGTTATCTCTGCCAGACTCTAGGAGGGATATTACCTCACCTGCAGTAATCCTTGTTGTAAGCAAGTCTATTTTCACTCCTTTAGAAAGCAAGATTTCATAGGCAAGAAAGACCAGAGAGTATATCAGGAGACTATACTCATGTATGAGGCTAGAGAAAATGGAGGTTGATGAGTGGGGTAAAAGGACTCTGAAATCAAATAATCTCTACTTTAGAATGTATTCAGGTGGGCTCACCTTCAGCTCTCTTATTTATATCTTTGCCCTTTTGAAGACTTTAGATTCTACACTAACAGAAAGGGTGGTATCACAAGCTAATTCTATTTATCTCAAATGATAAAAATATTTTTAAAAGACTTGGTCACACTTTTGGTTGTATTATTTGCTTTCTTTTCTTTTAGAAAAATATCTTTTAAAGCCAAAATAGGTTCTGGATTTACACAATTATCACATTCAAATTTGTGTTTGTGTCTCCCTTCTCCCATAGGGAATGGAAAAGGAGCATAAATAATATTGGTAAAATGTGAGCCCTCCAAGACATTCTTCAAATGTTCAATTTGCAGGTATGGTCAAAATGCATAATCCAGGCATGTCTCTGTAGCTGCTTGGGGTAAAACTGACTGGCCTTGCAAAGTGGTTCTCCTTATCAACTAGCAACATTGTTTTATGATGTGTCTGGGTGACGGGCCAATTTCTTAAGTGAGTTAATATATGTATTTAGTATTATCCAGTACTTTTGCTTTTATAACTAACTTACAGTATAGAACAACCAACCGTGCTCACCCTGGCACTCTGCCTTAGCAGAATTACTCACAGGAGCATTAGAAACCACTCCTCAGCTCCCCCCAAAGTCCACTCACTTCCAGCTATCTCATACCTCCACTCTCAATACGAAATGTCAAGAGAAAAGGGACCAAACTGAAGATTCCAGTGTGAATCTTAGGGAGCCTCACCATGTTTGCTTCAGGGAATGTATTTGCTGTGCACAAATGCTTGTGTGTAGTAAAGACCGGCCCCTTGGGAAAGCAGTGGAGCAGCTGAAAGGGATCACCATTTGGCCTCTTTCAGTCTTCATGTTTACCCTGTGTCTACTGTAAAGACAGAGTAAACATGTTCTTTCTGACACATCCCATAACCCTCACCCAACCCCTCTCCTGCCTGATCATATATATAGATGTGTGGTAAGAAGTTGGTAAGTTCAGAAAAAGGATCTGTGCTGCACTTCAGCCAAAAGAAACTTCTGGAAAACCATATTTACAGCAAAATTAAATGATCCCTGTCTCAGAAGGAAAATCCTTGTCTTCAGGAGCCCCAGCCTGCCTCTTGGCCTTTCCGTCTGTTCTCTCCTCCCACCTCCCTTTGCCTCTTTTTTCTCCTAAAGGGAGTCTAAAGGTTGGATTAGAGCCTATCGGCTTCCCAGGGGACATATGAGCCGTCCATTAAAATAGGGATGAAAACTAAAGAGAAGAAGCTCTGTCGGTGGAATTTAGGCAGGATGAATAATGGAAAGAGCTGCATACTGGAGCCAGAGAGAACTGGAATTGAATCCCAGTTCAGTCATTTAGAAACTGTCTTGGGCAAGTTACTTGTCTTTTCTGAGTCACAGTTTGTTTATAAAATTGACATAATATCTGCCTCATCATCATGACAGAATTAGCTGAAATTATGTACATGGAACTGGTGCAGTGTTTGGCATGCAATTGGCATCCACTAAATGCTACTCTTTAACCTCATGATAAGGGGGAAAGAGGAGTTGTTGGGGCTGATCATAGGACTTCCTCAGTATTTGAATCTGGAAACAGAATTTCTCTCTCTCTCTCTCTCTCTCTCTCTCTCTCTCTCTCTCTCTCTCCTTTCTTTCTCTGTGTCACAGAGACAGAGAGAGAGACAAAGGTAGAGACAGAGATGGGGACACAGAGAGGAGAGAGAGACAGGAATGGAGGAGCAGTTTAAGAGAAAGGAGCTTATTTGATTGCCTTGATTTTTCTAATTTTTTTCTCTGCTTTTGGTCTCTGTAATTTCCTGGTATCAGAGAAAATAAATAACCAAATTAGAGAAATCAGTAGTTTGGGGTAATTTTACCCATGTGTTAATAAAAACCTGGTGAAACATTTTCCCCTTGCTCCTTGTGATCCCTAGTTTACTTTCTTTTCTGGATGGTACTGAGAAAATGATACATTTTTCTGTTTCATATTCTGTGCTGGCTACTCCATTTGGGCCAAGACATTGTTTTTTCTTTTTTTGCCACGTGTTAGTATCACTGTCTGAGGATCTGTCAGGATGAAGAATAGCTTCCTTCTCTGTGCCAGACCTGAGCTGATCCTCCAAATTACAATGATTCAGATCTTTCTTGGCACCCGGGCTCAGATTCCAGAGCTCTTTGTGTCCCCTAAGAACCTGATACCTGGTGTTTCTTTATCAGCCTGAGTTCATGTATTTGCTGACATGTGCTGTACCTCAGATCAGGTGCCATCACTGTGACCTAAATGGATGCTTACAGGCTCCAAGCCTGACTCAGCCATCCAGGAAATGAACAAGGCCCTGAGATTTCTGAAAACAATCTTTCTTGGAGTTAGACTGTTGACCCATGATAAAATTTGCTCATGATTTTCTCCAAGATAAAAATTCCTTAGGTTTCTACCCATGAGATTTTATCATCTTAACAGGTTTTTCTTCTTGTTTGAGAAAACCAGTGACCATATTTTCTTTCTTTCTTTCTTTTTTTACACAAAAAGGATTTGGCAAACATACATATATGAAACAGGAAAATAAAAAAAAAAGCATGAAAAAAGTACATCACACATCTGAACATCTTTTTTAAAAGTATTTTTATTGAGTTTGTGCATTTCATATAATAAATCTTAAACAAATTTAGACCCCCTCTTCCATCTGTGCCCTCCCCTTACCCCCTCACTTGATTTCATGCATTCTGTTATATATGTTAAGGCCTATCCAGTCAAACATTTATACCCAGATGTCCCTCTGTACAAGCCCACCCACTGAAGTCTAGTCAGCTTATCTAGAGTTACTGTCTTAAAGAAGATATACTCTCCCTCACTGCACAGTAATAAGTTGCCGATAGTTCCTTGGCTAGGGTTGGGGACTGCTGTCCATTTCCCTGGTTCTGTGCTGGGTTTTTGTCTGATTGAGTCAGCATGGGCCTTGTGCATGCTCTCATCATTGTTGCAAGTTCATATGAGCAAGTTCCCAGAGGCCTGAAAGCCTTTGATTCCTTATGTTCATGCTCCAACCCTGACTCTTACAATCTATGATCTGAGCATCTTAATCTCTGGAAGATGTGTGGGTATCCTGTTAGGGTTCTTCAGGTCCACGAATACTCAAGAACTCTGATGCTGTTGTGTCTCAATTAACACAGATAGTTCAAGTACAAATATCTGACCTATTTAGCAAAATTCGTTTCACTTGGAATAGTACATTTTTTTGTTTTTAAAACAATCCTGAGAAGTTTATAGGTTTCACATTTATCACAGGAATCCATGGCACCGAGGAGTTAAGAATCGCTAAGGTGTGAGGCTTCTGTAGGACTGGGGAATTTTTGTTTTTTATACAGGATCTACTGATTTCATTAGTTAGGTACTTTTCAGTTTTCTCTTCTATGGACACCCCATCCTGAACTCAGTGTCTTATTTCGTGATACCCATATCTATGGAGTGCAATTTTCAGCCGCCTTTGTGCCAGACTTTGCTTTGCTAATTCCAGTACACTGCAATTTGAAAACGAATTATTCATATTCATGTTAATGTTTATTGAATATTTCTGATGTACTAATTACTAAGCTGCCAAAGAGACTACAGACTGAATTAAAAAATATTGCCCTTGATCAGTTTGTGATACAAGGATACAAGGGGTCTGTGTGTGGTGTGTGTGTGTGTGTGTGTGTGTGTGTGTGTGTGCAGTAACCTCTTGATTTATGTCCCCATCCCCTCACAGATCTTGGAGACATCTGAGGCTTAACAGGGATTTTCCAACATTCCAGACTGCTGCCCGACAATGAAACTGAGTCACTGACTGAAGTATTGGCAGCAATTTGGAGCCCCAGGACAGCCGGCCTCACTAACCTTGACTCTAAGCGGCCCAGAAAGAGCGTGGCCTGAAACTCCAGCAGGAGTAGAGAAAGCCTCCTCTGTTAATGGAAAGAGGAAAGGAGAGAAAGCTCTCCAAGTTGCAACAAGCTTTTCACCACTCCAAAGAGCCTACCTTCCTTATTCATCAAGCCATCCTACCTAGCGACTCCCACCGGACCCTTGTGCCAGAAACCGAGTGTGGCAATCTCGCTGAAAAGATAAAGACAAACACTCGGAAAAGTAGACCTGGAACGGTGATACTATCAAAACGGTCTGGTAGGATTATGTCCGAAAGCCAGCCTAGCCCTCCCGTGATTCCATCCCGCAGGCCAAGATTCCGGATATGCTACATCTGTGGCAGAGAATTCGGGTCCCAGTCACTTGCTATTCATGAGCCCCAGTGCCTGGAGAAGTGGCGTGTTGAGAACAGCAAGCTGCCCAAGCACCTGAGGAGGCCAGAGCCCTCCAAACCACAGCCTCTCGGTGGCAGTGGTGCCTACAGCCTTCAGACAGCTAATGAGGATGCGTTTCAGAGTTCGCAGGCTCAGCTGCTGCCCTGTGAACCCTGCGGCCGCAAGTTCTTGCCAGACCGTCTCCTTGCTCACCAGAGAAGCTGTAAACCAAAGAGTGAGGGTTCTGGAATGCCAAACGCCGACAATCCCGATGCTCTTACTAGTCTCAAGAAAGCTTCGAGTGGCATCCCAGCCCGGCCAAGGACTCTCATTTGCTATATTTGTGGCAGGGAGTTTGGCACCCTGTCCCTTCCCATCCATGAGCTCAAATGCTTGGAGAAGTGGAAAATAGAGAACGAACGGCTCCCTAGAGATCAACGCCAGCCGCTTCCCCAGAAGCTTCAACCGGTTCCAACTGGTCAGCTCAGTCAAGAAGAGGCTCCTCAACCTCGACTTCTGTCTTGCCCAAATTGTAGCCAGACCTTTGCCTCAGATCGCCTATCAATACACCTGAGAAGTTGTAAACCTCAACCTAGTGGACCGGAAGTTCTGAATTCGAATCTAGGAAGGAAAGGTGACTCCAGTGTGCTAACTAACTCCAAGCAGTGAGGAAATATGGCAACACCCAGAGTAGCAGACAAGGTAGCTCATGCCATGTAGAGTGAAGTAGTGGACTGGGAGCACATTTCACCTTCAAGGAAATAAGAGAACTGCTCCCTGAGCCAGCCACCTCAGCCCAGAGGATAGGTTCTGTCAAAGCCTTACTTCTGTCTCAAGGCTGTCTCTGCAGGTTGACCGGCTTTTGGACTCCAGGCGTTGTGTGTGTCTCCCTTGGCAACACCCTTGCCTGATGGGTTCATGTTCCTCTTTAACCTTACGGCCTAAAAGACATGGACTTCTTTTTTCTCTGATCCCTCATACCAGTAATCCCTGGGAGAGACTGTTATTTAAAAATGAGTCACTAATACAGTGTCTACATTAGAGAGATACAGTTCCCATTCCAACAGTCAATGTTTATTGCTGGTTTATTTTAGTCATTTACCTTAGGAATTCGTTTTTGGCAATGTTGGGTTATGCTGAGTTTATCTTACTAAAATAGAATCTGTGTCAAAAACCCCAAATGATTCTAGCAATAATTAAACACTGGAGCACTGGCAGAAGTACACGCTCTCTGCAAATGCTGTGTACTGTTGTTTAAAGTGTGTATAAGTGAGGGGTTAACCCCTGAATGGAAACTGGTGTATATTCACTTCACGGTTCTGAGAAGTGCTCAATCCTATGCTGCTCTGTACCTTGAAGCTGTTCACGGTTTTTCTAAACATGCGCGAACTCAGGGCCATCAGCCTATAAGGTGAAGAGTTATTTTACTTGAGGCCTCACTACCAACAGGATGGGGTGGAAATGCTTATGGAGGTGGCTACCTGCACAGTATGATGTGGTTCTTGCTCTTTCTCCTCCATTAAAACAGGACACTGGACTGTCACCTCTTATGGAATGTCAAGCTGTGAGAAACAGGAGACAGTCTTTTGTCTATGGCATGCTACTTAAATTCTAAGCATGCTACAACTCCCCAAATCGCAGCCTCTTGACAGCAGTCTTCAGAGAATGTGTCATTACATTGACTATTTTAGGGAAACAAGGGTTACTCAAACTATTGTAAAAACTAAACCAGAGCTATATGAGGGATACCCTTTATTTTGATATAATTTTTATTACTTTGAAGACTGCACAATCTTTGTTCCTAATTTCCATGTTTAAAATTTATAGACTTACTGGTTTCAGGGATTCCAAGACAATGATTCTAAACCAGAGTGTCAGACTAACAGATGCTGGGCAAGTTTTCCAGTGAACATTGAAGAGAAAAAACCCAGCTAGATTTTTTGCTTAATGAAAACCCAAACTCTGAAGTGTGGCATGTGCTTCAAGCTGGTCTCATAAACACAATCTGTTTTTCCCATCTTCTGCTGTTGCTTTTCTTCCCAAATGTGTGGGGTTTGGAATCAGAGAGTAACAGGATCCGTGTCTTAGGGCCACAAATCAGAAACTCCCTCAGCATTTCTAGCTTAGAGTCCTGTTCTTGATTGTATGCATTTACCTCAAATGTTCTCATTAAGGATCTAGAGATAGCAAGGAGTGTGGTCAGGATTCTCACGCTTGTTGTGGTAACACATACTTTGTGTTCTAAGACCAGAGCCAATAGGCTGAGCACAACATGTTCTCTCAGTTATGAGTGCTAAAAGGGACTGGCTGGGCCCACAGTGTCACAAAAAGACACTTTTTTCACCCACCCAGTTGTCTGGAAGAGAAAATGTCACAGAGGCTGATGGTGACCACCCATGACACCTGCATTTGCATGAGAGCCCAGGGAGGTCCCCTAGAGGACAGAGTGTTGTCAGCATGGACCTCACCACCACCCCCTCCCACTCACAGGCTGTAAGTAGGAAACTAGCACTCACCACTGTCACATGTGCACTGGCCCATTTGGAAGCCATTCGGGCTTCAGTGAGGGCACAGAAAGGTCATCCAAAATAGGGTTCATTGCCAAATTTAAAACAAGTTTGCGTTAATTAAAATGGAGCAAGTCTTAGGCTTCACTAAAGCATAAGATCTTTTGAAAGTAGTGGATGTTATTTGTACCCTTAGCCAGACACAGTGCATTTGACAGAAAGCCTTTCCTGCCCAGTGCATTTTTCCTTCTTAACTACAATTTGATTCTGTCTGTTGAAATGTTTTCTCCGTTTTCTCCTTCATACCATTTACAAGTTAGTGTAGTGAATCGCTTGTTTTTCATAAAGAGCACTGCCCTATACATTATTGGAGTTGCATCTGCCTGTGACGGCTGACTTTTGGCTGACTGCAGTGTAAGTGCATTGCTTTTTACAATTTGAATGCCTGCTTCATTTCTTCTCATGTCGATTAAGGAAACTTTCCTTAATGCTTTTAAAAGATATTTTATTATTTTTATTTTATGTGTATGAGTATGTGGCCTGTGGGTGCTGGGAATTGAACCTGGGTCTCTGCAAGAGCAGCCAGTGCTCTTAACCACTGAGCCATCTCTCCAGCCCGTTCTCCATCTGACTTTGGATTAGTCTCAGCTCTCTCACCTGATTTTCTCAAGAGTTTCAATCTGAATTCCAGTGAGGGAAAATATTTTCAGAATCACAGTTGTAGTACTTGGACAACAATCTTTCCATCTGGGCAATGATGACTGTTTTGCTGGCTGAGTACACTGTCATTTGCTCAGAATGTTCCTCTAACATGGATTGGTTCAGTCTCTTTATGACACAGATATCCTCTTATCCTTCAAGCAAATAAAACATAAATAGATGCCAGTGGGGCAAACTCTCTTCCAAGGCCTAGGTTGGCATCTTGCTTTGCCCTCATATAAGTTTGAACTGTTCTGCGGCTTATAATCTGATATCTAGAGCCAAATCAATTCTTTCTGACCTCACAGAAAAGTTGTGATCAGTGGTAGTTGTATTTAAGGGAAATAGAAGCCTAGTGTGGAGTTATTCAAAGGTGCGATTGCCTTGGGACTACTGTTCTTCATCTTTATGCTGTACTCAGCAACAGTGCGCTCCCCTTCTTCCCTCTAAAAGAAGAAAAGCCCAGGTGAGTAAGCAACATTTAAGTTAAACACAGTTATTAATTTCATAGGAAAATTTGATCCATGATATGAAAGATAAGTTATTACTTTGAATTTAAATACTGCTTCTATTGAATCAGACATTCTGCTATGCCTTTTATAAGTGATTTTCTAAGCAGTCTGCTGAGGAATATAATGGGGATCATTGTTATTCTTTATTTTAAGATGAATGAATAAATGTCAATATTTGGCTCCTTTCTAGAAACAGATCATAACGTCAGTTAGCTTTAGGCTTTTTCCAGATAATTGGAGCACAGGTTGACAGTTAAACACACATAATTATAAACCAAAGTAGAGCCTTTGCCCAATAACTTTTGTCAGGTAAGGCTTTTGGTTATTGTCTTAGGAGTTACTTGATAATATATGAAAGTGTCCATAAAAATCCTGCCCTATGCTGCAAAACAGACATCATTCCTATTAATGGATATTATCTCTTCTACAAAAGATTCTGAACATTGCAGGAAGCACTACTGCCATTCTCAGCCCTCAGCTTTGAATTGAAAGCTCCTCAGACGTGTCTCTAGCATCCAGTGCTGCCATCTGGTGTTTCCTTTTAATGTCTTCTGCACTACTATCAAATATATTACTGCCTTTCTCCTGTTTATTTTCGTTAATGTCAAAGTACTTGAGAAGGTACCCTTATAATAAAGACCACAAACTCCAGTTATTTAGGACTATGGTTATATATTTGATTTAAAATTGTAAGTTCTGTTTTCTGATGGAAATATCTCATTCTTTGAAGGCAAAACTCTCAATGGGACGGGCACAGTCAGAAAGGTAGAACAGATATGGTCACATTTTCATATTTTCTATCTGTGCCTGGAGTTTAGGGCTGGAAATGAAAAAAAGAATTTGGTTTTATTGAGTTCTTTTATGTCTTCATCTGTGTTGCTATGACAAAATGCCTGAGACAGGGTGGTTTATAAAGAACAGAAATTTGTTTCTTCCGGTTCTGGAGGATACGAAGTCCAAGATCAAGTTGCAGAAGGACTGATGTCTGGGGAGGGCTATTCACTGTGTCCAAGGTAGCACTTTGTTGGTGTTCCTCTGGAGGAGAGCAGAGCTTGTCCTCACAACGTAGAAACAATGGAAATGCAAGGGAGTGGTCTCTTCAGGTGTGAGCTTTTTATAGAGGTGCTAATCTTACTCATAAGGGTGGAGTCCCCACAACTTAGTCATGTCCTAAAGGCTAAGCCTCTTAATAAATGTTCCACTGGGGATTACTGTCAACATGAGTTTTAGAAGAGACATGATCATTCAAACTGCTGTCTTATAATCCTTTATGATCACTGCTCTATGCATAGTCTAATTTACGTTTCCTCTGATTTTCTGGTGGGGTGTTTGAGGTTAAGAAGTTGCCCAAACTTAGACAGTAGGTTCAAAAGTGAGTGTTAGAGCCAGGTCTATGTCTAAGGACTCACATCTTTTAATGTCATTGTTTTCATAGGGCATAGGAATGATATAAGAAAGGGTCTGGAGGGAAGGTATAGCTCAGCGGCAGAGCACCGATGGGTGTGAGGCCCTGGTTTCAATTCCCAGCATGAAAAGATGGGGACGATGGTGACCCTCCCAAGCTAGAGCATTAATAAGGCAAAGAGGAAAGAAGTTTGTTGACTTAGCATATTCATCATTGGGCATTGGCATAAGCACTGAACACATGAACACATAGTCATTAAAAAGTAAGGACATGGATCTTAGTCCACTGGAGGACTAAGAACTAGTAAATTAAAGATTTACTAGGATTAAAGACAACCAAATTTTGATGCCGCGGTGTGCTGTAGTGGGAGGTAACATAAAGGATCTTGACTAGAGAAAACCTCAAGGATGGAGATGTTTCATCTGAGCCACGTAAAGTACAAAAGAAAGCATTAGTGAAATGCAGAGGTTCAGAGTGAGGGGAGAGCTGTCAGGGAGGAAGTTCTGCTCAACGGCGAGGTGAGAAAGATCTTAGGGTGGAACCAAAGAGCCCACATGTTGCCAACATGTGATACAAGGTTGGCACACACAAAGAAGCTGTAGGGGTGGCATCAGGAGTGAGCAACTGAGGTGCGATCCACAGAGCAGCACACCAATTGCTTGGCTATATCAGGAACCAGTGAGAGCCGATGGTAACTTGACCTATGGGTTGCAGAATTGAAGATGAAGTATGATTGGCAGATCTTGGTGACAGTTGAGGTATGGAAGGGTGAGGAAAGAGGCCAAGGATGACTCCCAGATTTGTATCTGGAGCAGTAGGCACTGGTCGTGTCATATTCTAAGAAGGAAATGTACTCTAAGGGGGTTAGGATCAACAGCTTCATTCTGGAATTACCACATTCAGAATGTTTCTGAGGCGTTTAAGTTACACTGGGCTATATGTTTGGAACTAGGAAGAGGACTGGGCTAGGATGTCCATTTGTTGGTTAATAACATATACTTACAGAAATAAGAATGAATATAGGATTAAAAATACAGATGGAGACTGATTTCTGAAGGAGCTAGAGACTGCATATTTGGAGACATGACTGAAATGCCTGGTGCATGTGTTACTGTGGAAACTGATATCTGAGAAATTATCAGAGTGAGAGTAGGGATAGCAGTGTGCCTGCCAAGAGATTAAGTAGAATGAGGACAGAAAATAACTCTTTGATGTGGCCATACAGATTTAACTGGGAACCTTGGAAAGAACACATTCAGTTGGTTGGAGCTGCAGAGTATTGGGTAAGTTATGAAAAATTTAGCTTTCTACCTTAACAGAGAAATAGTGGATAGGTTAGAGGTATAGTGGGTGGAGAAGTTTCTTTAAACAATGGAAGCTTCCAGACTGTATTTGAACAAGTAGGATAATGATCCAGTGTAGAGAAAGAGGTGGAAGAGGCAGAAAAGGTAGTCAGGAAACATAGCCTGGAGGGAAACAGACACCTGGGATAGGATCACCAGCATGTGGAGAAAGAGACTTCATAGGAGGGATGCCTCTTTATTTCAGAAGCATGTTGGATGCAGATGAAAGTAAGTTTGCCCACTGGCAGTGAGAAGGCCGAGAAGCCTCAATCTGTTTTCTCAATAAAACATCAAACAAGCTTATCATGCATAATCAGCCTATAAGAAAGAAGAAATATTAACTTTAAGAACCTTTTTAGCGCTCTGTCTCTTCATGCCTTCTGTTAAACCAAGTTCCTGAACTCAAGACCAGGGCTCTAAGAACTGTTTTCCTATATCATCCCTAAACCCAAGAGGGACTTAGGACTTTTGGGAAGTGGTAGATAACACACTTGGGGGATTTCTACCCTTGGGTCTTATACCGGTTATCAGTCTCAGCAGCCCTAGCTCACATGCTCAGCTGTACTGATGTCACAAAGCCAACCTTACCTCACAAAGTGCCCTTTGATGATGCTGCCAGCTGAGCTAGTTAATGTCCAACTCCCAATGCCATTTCATCATCTTTCCTTGGGGCCAACCATGTCCGAATATCAGGGCAGCATTCTAGGATCCCATGGCTCGCAGGTGCACAATGAGCAATAATAAGGTAATGGTACTTGCCGCCCCCCAACAGCTCTAAAAGCCAACCCAGGTGAATCTGTGGATAGAGGTGGAATGAGAGGTATTTGTGGTATTTGTGAGATTTAGAAAGAGTTATAGATTGTATAACAGTGAAATTGGCATATAACTTTCTTATCTAAAATTTAAAGGAATATTCACCAATACAAATGACAATAAAACAAAGCTTTCTATTTTATATTTTGTTTTTTAATATTGATTTATATTTATTTTATATGTATGAGCATCTTGTCCGTCTGTGTGTATGTGGGCTATGTGCATGCCTGGTGCCCACAGATCAGAAAAGGGCATCAAATCTTCTGGAATTGGAGTTACAGAAAGTTGTAAGCTGCTGTGTGGGTGCTGGGAACTGAGTCCAGGGCCTCTGCAAGAACATCAAGTGCTCTTAACCCTGAGCCATCTCTCTGACCCCAAATATAACTTAAAAAAAGAATTCTGTCTCAAATAATACATCAAGTATCAGAGGTTAGGCAGAATTCTTCTTCTTTTGGATCAGGCTGGCCTCAATCTCACATCTGCCTCTGCACCCGCCCCATGGGGGCTGGGCATTAGACAGACTTCTGATAAATGCTGATAGCTCATCCAAGATTTGGCACCAGGGCTCCCATACATGGTTTTCTGATTCTTTCTAAGGATAAATACTAATTGGAACATCTGTGAGAGGGCAGGAACCCATTTTTACCAACAAAATATTATTCAGATATAAAATCAACAAAACTATAATATGGACATACTGTTTAAAAGTTCATCTACTTTGGATCAATCAGACGGCTCAGTGAGCAATGGTGCTTGTTGCCCACTTGATGACCTCAGTTCCATCCCTGGGTTCCACATGGTAGAAAGAGAAAACTGACTCCTGCAAGTTGCCTTTTGATCTGCACACACACTGTGCATGCATACCTACACACAATGAATAAGTTTAATTAAAAAATCTATCTTAAGTGATCTTATGTCATAAGCTTGCTTTTCCATATTACCCACATCTCCCTCTCCAAGTTATTGGTGGGCAGG